CATCAAACATTTCAGGAAGAAATACTATCAATTCTACACAATCTCTTCCAGAAAACAGAAGAGAAGAGAATACTCTTAACTAATTTGAAGCCTACATTACCATATCAAAACCAGACAAAAACATCACAAGAAAGAAAACTACAAAAATATTTCTCATGAACATAAACACAAGTATTCCCACAAAATGTAAGCAAATGTAATCCAGCAATAAGATTTATCTTGAGCATGCAAGGTGGGCTCAACATGTGAAAAATCAGTCAATGAAATTTACAATATTACCAGAAGAAATACCATGATCATCTCGATAGATGCAGAAGACAACTTTGACAAACGTTTACATCCATTCATAATAAGAACTCTCAGAAAACAAGAAATAGAGGGAAATTTCTTAATCTTATATAAAATAGCTACAAAAAAAACACTACAATAAAACAAACGTAAGCTACTATCATACTTAAGGTTGAAAGATTAAAGACTGAGTGGAAGGATATATTCACCAATGATACATAATATCCAAAATGTCTAAAGAACTTAAACAACTCAATACCAAAAAAAACAACAACAAATAATCCAATTTAAAAAATGGGCTAAGGTCCTGAATGACACTTGTCTAAAAAGGACATACAGATGGCCAATAGATATATGATAAGATGTTCAATGTCACTACTGATCAGATAAATTCAAATTAAAAACACAATGAAACATCACCTCACATCTGTCAAAACGGCTGTCATCATCAGTAAATCCACAATGACAAGTGTTGGTGAGGATGTAGAGAAAAGAGAACCCTCATGCATTGTTGGTGGGAATGCAGATTGGTGCAACCATGATGGAGAACAGTATGGAGCTTCTCAAAAAAATTAAAAATGGAACTGTCTTATCACCCAGTGATTCCACTTCTGAAAATATCTCCTAAGAAACCCAAAACATTGATTCAGACCTCTGTTCATTGTAGTGCTATATACAATAGCCAAGATCTGGAAGCAACCTAAGTGTCCATCAGTAGATGAGTGGATTAAAAAAGTTGTACATTTACTCAATGGACTACTACCTGGCCATGAAAAAGAAGGAAATCTTACCTTTCTCAACACTGTGGCTGGACCTAGAGAGTATTATGCTAAGTGAAATAAGCCAGTCAGAGAAAGACAAGGACCATAGGATTTCACTTATATGTGGAATCTAATGAACAAAATAGAAACAGACTTAGAGATACAGAGAACAGTCTGACAGCTGTCGGAGGGGAGAGGGTCTGTGGGGAGAGGAGCTGGGGAGTTCGGGGCTGGGTGAAACAGGAGAAGGAATTACATTAAAAAACAAAACAAACAAAAAAACAATAACCTCATAGACACAGAAAACAGTATGGTGATTACCAGAGGGAAAGAGGGAGGTAGAAGAGTGGAAAGGGGGGATAAATGGTGATGGAAGGAAACAAACTTTGGATGGTGAAAACACAATGACTATATAGGAATTGTACACTTGATACCTATTTTATTAACCACTGAAACCACAATAAATTCAATTAAAAATAAAAATGTTAGAAAATGTATCATGCAACCACAATGCACTTGAACTACAGCCAGAGTCAAGCAGTCATAGCATCACCTTGACCCCACCCCCCAAGCCCAAGTTCACAGTTCCTGCAAACATGTTATCATTTCCACACTAAACACATGGCCTTGCAGCCCACCTTACAAGTAGAAATAAAAACTGAGGCACTCTGACCCATGCTCAAAGCTCACAGCATTGCTCTCTTAACACCTAGTGTGTGTGTGTGTGTGAGTGTGTGTGTGTGTGTGTGTGTGTGTGTGTGTGTGCGCGCGCGCGTGTCGTGTCTCCAGGACCTTCTATCCCACCACATCCGCTCCTGGTTTCCTCTTCCCACCAAGCTCCCACTCCCAGGCCATAAGCAGCAGCGCCTGTGCCATAGTGCTAACTAGGTGGCAGCTCTGTCTGTCTCTCCTGGCTTCCCAGGGGAGCTAAGGGCTTGGAGCCACTGGGCCCAAGAGCCACTAAATTCAGACAAAGAAGCATGGGTCCGAGTCCAACTCCAGCCCCAGCCTCAATGGGGACCCTGGTCCAGCCCCTAACAGCTGCAAATCCTGGTTTCTTCATCTTGAAATAACAGACATTAGACCACAGGCACTCTAATGTCTGCGCCAGCTCTAAATTTTTTATGAATTTTTATGAATTAATGCCCTGCCATAAACCTCTCCCTTTTTTTCTGGTCTGTCTTCAAGAGATTGAAGATTAGAAATAAAAGCTAGGATTTTCTTGTTATTGTTGCTCAATCTGCTCCTTTGGCTCTGTTTGGGATGCTTTTAAACTTCACAAAGAATCTCTCACCTAAAGTATGAGAATCACCAGGTGAAAGAGGACACTCACCACATAACCTCCCTGACTGCAACCAAAGGAAGCTTCCAGAAACTTCCTGTGGGTCACAGAGAACAATAAACAAGAGGCGGCAGAATGAATGAGGCTTCAAGAGCATCCAGATCTCATGCTCTCAAATGCAGCGGAGAGAGCACTATTCCCATCTGGCTGGTAGCCAGTGGGCAGGATGGGCAAGGGGCCTGCAGGGCCCTGAGAAGATGGGCAGTGGACCTGACCCCTCAGCCTTGGGACCTCTTCCTTGGAAAAGTCCCACTCAGGAAGGTAGCTCCAAAAACACCCCCACACACACGCTGGGCAGAACTCAGAAAATCAGTGGCAGCTAATGGGGCTGAGCTCTGCCTTGCCCCCCTTCCCAGGCCCTGACGGAGCTTGTGGGGACTCAAGAGCCAGGCGGGGTCCTTAATTCCTGGGCTACAGCCTCAGTCAGAGGCCCGAGGCCTCCAGGGAAGACCGAGGCCCCAGAGAAGAACCATGGGGGGTGGTGCACATGACAGCCTCTGGGGTGCTGCTCTCCCCAAGCCCAGCAGAGAGGCAGGACGAGGGTTGGCGGTGAGGACATGTGTAAACATACGTGAAATTGTCCCCTGAGCTCCACCAGAGAGGCTGGGCACTCTGTGCATAAGCTCCTGTATTTATAGCTCAGAACAAACGTTTTAAAAAAGATTTTATGATTAAGATTTTATTATCTTAACTTTGAACATGAATAATAAAAATGTAATGCCAATTATCTTTGCCAAGAATAAAATCCAAACTGCCACATTTCCAGCTCCAGTTTTATTAGCACTGACCAAAGTTTTTTTTTTTAAGGAAAAAGAATATTTAAGAACTTGCTTCCTAAAAACCTGATAAATAATGAAGTATGGAAGTATTTCCTCCACCGAGAGCATGACATTCCTGCTCCCCCCCCCACACACACACACTCTGCTCCAGACAGACCTGAAATGAAACCCACTCTCATTCCAGGACGGGAGTCCCCCAAACACCCACGGACCTGGCAAACTAGACGGCAAGAATGTCCTTCCTCACATATTTTTGTTTTTAAAAAAAGGAAATAATGTATAAGCTCATTGATCCTCTTAAGTGCACACCCAAACCCTTTAAAAGGGCAGAGGTCTTTCAGGGGGAGAGACGTGGGATCCTGAGGGCCATGTGATTCCTGTGGGGACTGTGGGGGTCACGCCAGTTAGACAGCTGAGCACCGAACTTAGGAGACTGCTCAGGGAAGCTGCCAGGGGAACCCAAAAAAGCACTGAGGAAAGATGGGCTGAAGAGTTGGGATCAGAGGAGGAGGGGTGAGGGGCTGAGCCTGAAGGTGGGGCCTCACCTGGTGTCCCCACTTCACACACGCAGCTCCCAGGTGGCCCGGTGCTGCTCTGGACACTGAGGCCACTCCAGGCTGGTCAGCCACCTGTCTCTATAGGAATGCCAAGCCCAGGGGACCATCCATCCTCCCTCGCAAAGCTGACCTTGCCCCAGGAGGAGCCGCAGGAACCACGGGGGTCATTCCTGGGCATTGGGCAGGGAGCAGGGCCCGGGTCTCCTTTCCGGGTCTGCCCGTTCTGGTTGCCATGGAGCAGGTGGAGGGGGGGGGGGCAGAAGAAGCGCCTGGAGCGAAGCTGCTGCCAGCATTCAGAGAAGGGGTGCTGAACCCAGCTTAGATGGCACCAGTAGGTCACCATTCTGCCCTTCAGCCATCACCTAACTGTGGAACCCAATGTGGGAGGAGAGGAGTCAAGGAGGCTTCACCTGGGGGACGGAACCGCCCACCACATGGGGCTGGGGGGGAAGAACCAGTTCTGCGCTGGACATAGGGGTGTGAGGTGGGCACTCTGGGGGACACGGGAGCCCAGCTCCTCCCGGGGAGCACCTGGGGCTTCGGGAGCACCTTGGCTGCTGGTTGTGGGGCCACCTGCCATGGGCTTCTCTCTGTGTCCCCCAAACCCTCCCATGGAGGGACGGCTCATCCTCCCAGCCCCCGCCGAGCAAGGACAGGCCAGGGCCTGGGGAGCTCGGAGTCCTTGGCTCCAGAGAGGCAGCGACCCAGAAACCTCCTCACCATCACATCCCCTAAGAAGGACATGGCGCCCCTGTCCTAAAGGCCCACATGACACGGTCAGGGAAACACCCCAGAATCACAGAAGAGGGTGTCCATCTCCGGAGAAAGAGCCGACCCGGCCCTCACCATCAGCGTGTAATATCAATACATGAGCCAGCCAGCTGTACCTGCCATACCTCAGGAAGCTCCATACACCATTTCCTGTCCTTATTTTGAAAGGAAAAAAAAAAAATCCTGCTTAGTATTTTATTAGGTTCCCCCATGGATAAGTAAGACCAGAGAAGGCAGAATGAAAATGGCTTTTGATTCCATGCCCGGCCATGGCTGCTTGTCTCTGTCCAGCACTCACTGGGAGCACCTGAGACTTCAGATGTGTGCTGCTCCCAGGAGATCCTGGGACTCTGTTCACAGAGACGCCTCAGAACCTTAACTCTAGTTCATTGTAAACGGCCATAGCCTCCGGGCCCTGGGGAGAGGCCTGCACTGTGACCGTGTGTGTGATCCAGTGGTGAAGGGGGGGTGGGGAGGAAGAGAGAGGGTGAAGGAAGCTCACCTCCAGCAGCAGCCTTCCCTCCAGCACGGCCGACCCTCCACGGGGACCACTGTCTCCTGGTGAGGGGGCCCCAGCCACTGGCTGGTGCGGGCACTTCTCCTGCACGGCTGTCAGACAGAAACAGAGCACGTTAGCACCCTCCCCAGGCCCCAGGCCCCAGGCCCCAGGCCTAGTTGCGAGCCTTTGTTAAGTTGCATTTCTCCATTCTTCACCCCACTGTTCCTCACTGCCTCCCTCTTCAGTCCCACACGGACCCGCGGCCACCAGGACGCACTGGGGCAGCTCGGCCTCCCGGGAAGAGGACAGGGCAGGAGGAGCCAGGATATCCGACCGGGGCAGCCAGGCGGGAACAACGTGCTCACATTTGGGAGGTCAGGACATCTCGGCTGGGCCTGACCTGAGGACCCCACCTAACTCTGCTCCCCAGAAACTGCTCTCTACCCTCCTTCTACGAACCACTCAGAGCCCCACTGGCTTCAGGGAACCTCATGTGGAGCGGCCCACACCCCACAGGCATCCATTAAGGCACTGATTGCTCCAGTTCAGGAAGCTGCCAGCCCTCACACTGCCACCCTGCCCTCTGACGCTGGCGACACTCTTATGATTCTCCCATCCCCACATCCCCCTCCCCCCTCCCTGGGCTGGCTTCACCTCCATTTTTGGGGGAGGGGGGGAAGAATTCAGACAGACAGACAGAGGTTCATATCCCAGCTCCCAGGATGCATCTGCATCGGCGCCCAGGAGTCATGGGAGGGCCCCGGTGCCAAGAGGACAGGCGAGTAGAGATGTAGTCTGGAACTCGGGGCCTCGCCTCCGTGGAGGGCGAGTGGGGAAGTGCCTCAAAGCTTCCCCTCATTTCTGAGATTTGCAAACTGAAGCTACAGGTGATGTCAGTGCACCTGAGGGCCAGGGGCCGGCCTGGGATAAAACGTTAAGTGAGGGCACTTCAGTCTTCAGCATTTTCTCTTTCCAAATTTTTGCTCCAGGATGCACCAGTCTGTGCTGCTCTCTTACTCAGGCAGCTTCACCCATCAATTGTGAGGGAAACCAAGGCTCTGCCCTCACCTCCCCACGGGGCCCCACTCAGACACAGGGCCTACTCCCCACAGACGCCCCCTCACCCCTGTTAGTGAGAGGTGGGCAGCATCTGCTCTGAGGGGGTCCAGGCCCCCAGGCCCCAGCACAGCAGGGCCCGGATGTGAGCTCCAGCTTGAGACACGGTGTCTGACCCTCCTCCCCACAGAGCGGACACACACCAGGTTACCCCTGGGCCAGCCCACCTCACAGAGGCCTCGCTGGACCCTTCCTTAAATCCTCTGGTGTTGACCAGTGTTCTCAGGTAGAGAGCTCAATGCAGGGAGATGGCCCTTGGGAGCACAGGGGCTGAAGCCCACTGGGGGGGGGGGGCAAAATGGGGGACCCAAAAGGGAGGGGCCCAACTGCTAACTTCTCCATGACCCTGCACCTCTTGACAGCGTTGTGGCCTTGGCCTCTCCATCCCTCTCTCTCTCAGAAGCCGTGGACCATCAGCCTCCTCTCCCACCGCTAACCCATGTCACTGCGCTGAATATAACACGAGAGGAACCCTTTTCCTCCCAGAAGCCAGGTGTATTCCTGGAGATGGGAGCAGTCACCCCTGGGGGGAGGTGGCCCTGACAAATACACCCAGGCTCTCTGCTACTAGCCACCCTCTCAGCAACCAAGTTCCCACAGGGCAGACAGGCTGAGCTCTGAGACCTTCAAAGAGACTGTTTTTTAATCCCCTCTGGTATGCTCCCTGCTCTCTCAGCACAGGTTCAGCAGCCAGAAGGCTCTCTGCTCCCCAGGAGAGACCTGGGAGCAGCGCTTCCCCTGAAGGGACCTCCTGAAGGCTCCGTCATGTGTGTTCTACAGACACAGACCAAGAAAGATCCAGGAGAAGTCGGTGTGGGAATTAGACAAGGAGGTTCCCCCCCCCCATCTCTCCCCTCCCCCCCCCCTCTCCAGGCAGCCCCTCCCGCCAGGCCTGGCTTCCCAGCCTACCCAGATAGTCCTACCAGTTAGGGCTTGGGGCTGAGGAAGGAGCCCACAGGGCCTGGGAGGATTTGGGGCTCAGTAAAGGCCAGGAGTGATGCAGGGGGATGGCAGGACCCCCACCTCAGTGCACCCAGGTCACAGGCCACAGACGCAGACTACCAAGCCCTCCCGTTCAGCAAACTCCTTTGCAAGTCGCCGCCACCCTCACCCTAACTGGAGTCAGCTCCTTGCCCCCATCCCTCCCGGCACCTCCCTTGAATTGAGGGAAGGGAGGTCCGTTTGGTGCTGGGCTGTCCCTGCCCTCCTCCTCTCTGGCCAGCAGACCCCGTGGGGGAGGGGGATGCTGATCCTACAGCTGCGAGGCTGGGGGTGAACCCCAGGCTGTGACATCACCGCAAATGCAGCCACTGACCCTTCCCCCCACCCCCCCACCGCGGGGACCCTGCCCGGCACTGCAGTGCACACAGCTCACTCCCAGATGCACAGAGGCCGCAGCTCACTGTGTGTGTGTAGGGCGGGGGGGGGGGGGGGGAGAGGAATCAAAAGTTGAGGGGGGGGCGCCCCAACTGCTCATTTCTCCCTGACCCCGCATCTTTCTACACTTGGACACCGCCCCTCCCTCCCCCCCCCCCCCGCATTGAATTCCCCCACATCTCTTCACCAGGGTACCACCCCCTCAGCAACGCGTCCCCCCTTTCCCCCACCCCCCTAAACAGCAGGCACCCCCCACTTCCCTCCTCCACACTCCTCTGCACCTGGACACAGCTCCCCCCTCCCCCCGCCCCCGCATCGCGGGTCCCCCTCCCTGCGCCGCGGGCACCCCCACTTCCCTCCTCCGCAGCCGCATTCCGGGCCACACCCAGCGGCCTCCTCGGGTCCTGTCACGCGATGGGGCCTCAGCGCAGTGACAGCAGCCTGGACCCCGGCCAGGGCCTCGCGTGCGAGCAAAGCCGCCACCCCCACCCCAGGCCTGAGGCAAGACAGAAAGAAACCGAATGCTATTCCACTTCGCAGGGGGCAGCTTTCCCCAAATCCCTGGTCTGGCAGGGCCTGCCCCTCACTCCTCAGGTCCCCAGTTCAGGGGTGCCCAGGATGCTGGCTAATTCCAATGGGGGCAGGGGAGGGGGGGTCACAGGGGGCCAAAGGGCTACAGGTTAAGTCATTCCCGTTACCAGGGAGTGAAGATGGTGACAGCAAGGGGGTTGCAGGGAACAGTCCTCACCCCCACCCCCTACAGGCACCCCAGGCCCCCACCTGCAGCTCCTGGCCTCATCACTGCCTAGTCACCCTGGGTCTACTCCATCTCAGGGCTTCTCTCCTGAGTCACCCTCTCCCTGACTCAGACCTGAGGGTCTGACCTGGGAGGGGAGCTGAGCAAAAGTGGGCTGTAGGCAGGGGTGCCAGCCGACAGACCCCAGCCCTACTGCTAGTTAGGGGCTTCCCTTTGAGACCCAGAATGGAGCTGACTGCACCCTACCTGCTGGCCTCCACCCCGTACCCCCCACCCTACTTGCTAAGAGACCTCCCTCTCCTTTGCACAAAGGAGACTCAGGGCAAGGTGTGACCCTGAGCTGAACCATGTGCCACGGGGGCCCAGACCCTCCACCAGTGGCTGCTTAGGGGTCATATGCCTAAGTCTGGCCAGTGATGGTGCAAGTGCTCCTGGTGGAAGTCTGGATACTCACCCCCACCCCCCACCCCGACTCTGGACAGTGCTGTGATGCCTGGAAGGTGGCAGCCTCTTTGCTCCCAGCTCAGATGAAGCCAACTCCTTAGTGGAAAGTTGGGTGCATAAATGACTCCATGCAGGTGCATCCAGGACCGATGAGCCCAGGATGCGGGATGCCCTGAATGTAGGATGCAAGGGGCTGTCTGTGGGTTGGAGTACAGGACTCCTGTCGCCCAGGGCTCCCATAAGAGGCTGGACTGAAAACCCGATTCTCGCCAGCTGCAGCTCCTAGTGAGGGCTGGTCCATATCCACACCCCAGTCCCTGCTCTGAATGGAACACATACCCAGGAAAACCTGGCACTATTTCATCATCAAGTCAGAGCCCCAAGGGTGCTGCTCTGTGACCTGACCTCCACGCTTGGGGTGGCACCCGCAGTAGGTGTCATCAGGATGTTTCTTCCTCCAGCCCTGGCCCAGCAGCCTGCTGGCTTCCGGAGCTCAGACGGGTAGTTACCAAAGTATGCAGATTGTGACCAAATGGTCACACATCTTGCAGGGCAGGGTCCCTGGCAGCCCATGCACAAGGGCCACTCACCAAGTGCACTGCAAGTGGCCTGTCCCCCTTATGCAGCTAAGAAACTGGTACCTGGGGGGGGGCGGGGACCTGGGCCAGGACAATGGGAGTGGGCTGCCCCTTCTTGGTAACTGTGGTGAGGCCTCTCCAGGGACCCAGGGGCTACATGAGTCCAGGAGTTGACAGGTGACCTCACGGACACTTGCTCTCTTTGTAAGTGCCGGGCATGTTTGTGAGTCCAGCGCAGTGCAGTGCAACCAGACGCAGAGGAGTGAACAACCAGGGCCTGGCAGGGAGAGCAGATGGTGGGGGAGGGAGGGAGGGAGGGGAGGTTCTGGGGGAGAGGACAGGTGATCCAGAAGAGGGAGGGGGGAGGGAGGGAAGGAAAGAAGGGGGGGAAAACAGGTGATCCAGGAGAGGGAGGGGAGAGGGAGTGGGAGAGAACAGGTGATCAGGGCGAGGGAGGGAGAAAGGATAGGGAGAGAGCGCAGGTGCTACAAGGGAGGGAGGGTACGCCAGAGGAGGAAGAAAAGGAAGGAGCTGGAAGAAGGCAGTGCTCCAGGTGAGGGAGAGAGGCAAATAAGTGCAGGGGGTGGGGCCGGTATTCTGTGGGAGGTTAGGAGGAGGAAGAGGAGGTGAGGTTGCAGAGAGGGGTGTTCCACCTCTGATCTCTGCTCCCCATCCTTCCTGTGTCTACAACATGCACCTTCACTGACATCACGTTAGGGGGTCCCCACCTTACAGCTGTCCCAATTCCTTCAGTCTCCACTTTCTAAGAACCGAAAGATAAAGCCCTGGCTTTGTGTTGGAAGAGGAACATGAAGTTTACATGTATTTAGGTTTCTTG